CTATTATTGCGGCCTGTTTGCGCTGCCCTCTGGTGTCATAATAATTAAATGGAATTAATGCCTGGCCGGCCAGAAATTCATCACTCCAACCATCTATAGCTGCTGTTGCTGCACTGCCAAAAATGTGTTAGTTTTGAAGGTTTGATTGCACCAAAATTGGGTAAGAGTTTGATGTCCTTATTGCACCATCTGTTCCTAGAAGTAGCGATTAAAAGCAAACATTTTTGTGTTTATTGTTAGTAAAATATATTCATGAACATATTAATACATTATTTACCAACTAAAACAGGAGAGACTACCAGGCTAGATATTTATATTATAAAGCGCAAATGGGCTTGTTCCTGGTCCACTTTTTTCTGGGTGTTGGGGTGCGTTATTTGCTTTGTTATTTGAGGTGGCAGACTCATTTGTAAGCCAGTCCAGGTTCCCAGACCGAGGGAATCTCTTGAGGTGCCTTAAGCTAGCGCATTGTTCGTTGGTTTTGTTTTGCTTATGAATACACGGCCTTGAACTGAAATAAAGAAGCTGTCGTCCGACTTCCACTCGACTCACACAATATGAATGTGGGTGTATTCAGAAAATGTTCATGGAGGCTTTTCATACATGTTCGACTGCGCACGCAAATGTGTGAGAATTTGTGTTCTTAGTCCGCTGCCTGCTTCGAGGTGCAAAATAATAATAATGGAATATTTAAGTTGTTATTTATCAATGCCCATAATAAAGAGAGTTTAAATAATAAATATCCTTGTTTAAGGAGGTGGAACTACGGTGCCGTCAGCATAAACTAAAGTAATATTTGGCAAAATACATTCTAAACTATTAGTCAACATCGTTTTTTATGAGCTGCTGGGAATTAACAACTAGCATAAAAGAAATCAGCATAGAGGACATTTCACCATCACTACATCAATCACATTTTTTCACGCCCCAGTGACATTTTAATTCATGTTCAATACGACGGTGGCAACTTTAAAAAGTCCCTTGCGTTGCCTTCATATTCAAGCTTTCCCCTTTGAGGCGCTGAATTCCGCGTTTCTATTTTTCTTGCGGAAAATTCGGAAAGGATATTATTTATGTAGAGAACCTCGAACCGCAAACGGGTTCAAAGTGCATCCACTGGAAGTTCCTGTGGCTTTTTTCGTGCGGTGTGCCAACTCGAATGCATAGCCAAAAAAATATACGACTCCACTTTTACGCTCGAGTTTTGTTTATTTTTTCCGTTTGATGTTGCGGGCTGCTTCTCCATTTGTCGAATGCTTAAAGCCATTTCAAAATGATTGGCTTTTATGTCAATAAGCGTCTCAGTTGTCCTTACTTGTTTCAGTTTTTCTTTCCCAGTCTTTTTTGTTGACTTTTTTTTCGCATTTCCTTTCTGTTTTTGCTCTCGCGGTATTCTCTTACAGTCTGACGCTTAAGTGCCCCAATAAAACACAATAAATATACACATAAATTTTTATACACATCCCGCGTATATACATTCTTTTTTTGTGGCCAAAAAGATGAAAAAAGTCGTCGCGTTTTGATAGATGAAACGAAATAAAAACGTAAAACAAATATTGTGTTTTGAGCTCTCGGTCAATTTTCCAGAGAAGTCAACTTTAAATTTCGAAATTGGAGAGCAACTGGCAAACCAGATGCCATAAATCTTCCTGCTAAAGTTAAAACCCTGGCTTAGAATCAAAATTTCGCACCAACGCCGAATATTAAATCAATAAGTTCTCGAACATCGAAGCGTAAAATAGGCATTCGTCACTCGGTTTTCGGTGCACGGGCATAAATCTAAATTCAAACCTTTTGTGGATTGGATTTTGGTTAGGTGCCTTCGATTTGTATGCCCTCTGATTGTGTTCAATGTGGCACGCACAATTGATTTATGAAAATTTATTGCTCACATGCGGAGGACCAAAAACCAGGCGCCCAGGCGCCCAAGCGCCCTGCGATATGCAACACTTTGTGTTCGAAATTAAAGCTGCCGCGTCGCGAGCAATAAAAGCAAAGCCATAAAAGCTAATGAGCCCGAAAACTCGTCACCGTTGTCGCAGTCATTGCTCCTCGGATCTGCCACGCCCCCTAAAACTAATATAAATGTTCGAACTGGGGCATAATGAAAATCGCGGCCATCTTGTTGCGCCTGCACTCCCTCATAAAATCGAGTTTCACCTTGCTGTTTCAGCTCATAAAATAATGGCGATCGTCGGCTACCGTGAATATACGGCATGGAATGTCGTTAAATGTATCCAAATTGTTGTCGTGGCATCGGGAATCTCCCGATGCGAATACTTACTTAACGTTATCGCCTGTGAGTGCGCATAAATTTGGCAACAAATGCCAACAAACAAGTTAAGGTATAGAAAAATGGGTAGAGCTTGTTATTAGGGGGCGTGCCAGTGGCTGATTTATTTGGCTGATGGGGAAAGCAGTGAAGAGGAAAATAAGTAGGTACACATTTTCCAAAATTTACAATTGTAATAACTGCAAGCTCTGGAAAAATGTGTTGTAACATTAGTATAGTATAGCATAGCATAGCAGTGCTATAGCATTATGTATATAAAGTTTTGGCTTAGGGAGTCCAAATATTTCTAGGTGTACATTGATATGTGCTGGCAGATTTGTGTCACCCTATTAAGCATTTGATAGCGAGGCAACGGAAATTCTGCCACAGACACACATTTGCTAGCCAGTCCAAATTACATGAATAGAAATTCCAAGTACCCAAAATGAATACCTCCGAGGACAAGCGAACGCTGGGTGGCTCCTTCTTCGACGTGCTGTGGCCATTGATTCTGGACGAGAATGTCTGTCGCATCAAGACCAAGCCGGATGGTTTCTTTGTGCCCCGTGAGCCCTTCAATCGACTGGAGTGGCATACCTATCTGGCCCAGGTGGGCTATCCTTTCTACATGCCGCCACATGAGTTGCGCTGCTGCAAGGGAGCCCAAAGGGAGGAGATCGAGAACGAGGACGCGGAAAAGGCCTTCAACCAGGAGGTGGAGGAGCGAAAGGCGCCGATCCAGGAGGACTTTCTGCGCCGCGGCTCCCAGGCCATAAGGCCCATCGACAAGGTGGTGAATAAACTGCGAGTGGAGCACGAACGCCGCCAGAAGTTGGCGTACGACTTTGCCAACCGGCGTTATCCTTGGACCATGCAGACTCCCAGCCACGAACTGGGCTTCACCATCACCGAGGAGCTGCAGAAGTGCTTCAAGGGGCCCATGGAGCTGGACATCTTGCGGGCCATTCATGATCACGAATGCAAGCTAATGATTATTGATCTGGGCACTGAAGTAGACATCAAGGACTGCCAGCGCTGGATCAAGTTCCGTCCTTACATCCAGTTGCTGGCCTTGGTTCGCACACCTCGCATGCAACGATCGCTTCAGCTGCTCAATGTGTACCACACGCATTTGGTGGAAGAATCGGCGGATAACTCTTGGAATGATGAGTTGCAGTGCTCCCTGCGCTCAGGTTTTGTGCACGCACAGAAAAACCAGTTCCTTAAGTCCTGCGGGGAGCCATTTGTCTTCGTATTTAGTCGGCTGCGCGGCATCTGCATCTGCGACACCTTTAAGGTAATCCGCCGAGCTTAGAATGTAGGCTTTCTGCTTGGGATACCATCATTAGATACTAGCGAATGCCAGCTGAAGTTTCTACAAATTAGTAATTATTGATTATTCTTAAAAAATTGTAAATGTCAAAAAAAAATCTCAAGTTTATGCAAGCAAATCGAATTTGTAATTCAGTTTTTGCCAGCTACTGATATTTTAGGTTCACATTGCTCGAGTAGTTAGCCCAGTTTAATGCCCATTCACGAGGCCTAATTTGATTGGACTTGATTTGCTCTGCCCGGCCAGCCAACCCATCATGTTGAAGTGGCGCCCGAGCAGGAACCGCTCCAATTAGGACGCCCAATTGGAGCCGCCTTCAAGTGCAGTCAGACGCACTGCTACCTTCCACTTGCCACCCCATTATGGACGCAGGCGGAAGCCTGCACCGCCGTTTTCCGATGTGTTGTCAAAGTGCCTCCGCTAAGTTGGCCGACTTGGGCCCCCGGCACAATGCACAACAAGTTTGTTTGGGAAAAGAAAAGAAATCGAAAAATTTCGCGCCAAATCTCAACAAATTATTACAAAGCTTAACAAACTTGAAACTGATTATAAAAGTTGCCGGCAAGCAGTTGGGGCAAATTGGGGTACCCGCGGCCACAATGCAGCAAAATTGAGTTTCGGGTGTCGTGAAGTTAGGAGCACTTCCCCTTATTCTCACTTGCTTCTTTTTGTTTTGTTGGAAAAAGTTTTCTGGCCAAATGCGTTGTCGCCATAAACGTCCTCCCACAAACATAATTTTCAATGGAAATTCACATAAACCACCTTGCCACGCCTGATAATAACTTCAAGCTAAACTTACGCGATTTATAAGAGGTCTCGAAAATATAAAAAGTCTGCAGGGTGCTGAAAGTAATACTTTTCTTATCAGTTCGTGAATGTGAATGTTAACTTGCTGGGTAATAACTAAATAAATAGCCCAACAAATTACGTTAAGCTTGTTTCTAAATAGTCCTCATGCTTTAAAAACTTATTCGCACTGATAAGTGATTACATTGTAATATTTATCAGGCACAACCAAGCCAGTAAAAATAGTTGTGTTTTTACAAGTTCCTGAGTGACACTGAACAGCTTGTTGCTATAAAAATTGAGCAAGATCGGAAAACGAGAAGAGAATACATATTGCTTGAGCTGATGCATAGCATATATGCAAGGTGGGTTTGTAAATGGGTCCCATGTGTATTTAGCCGGGTTTTTTCTCTCGGCAGCAACTCCCCTGCTGAATATTGAGCTGTTAGTTGTACGATTAAAAAAGTGATCAGAGGAAGACCTGGCATGGCTGGGAAAAGCCCGAGATCAGTCAATGGGGCGCTCCGCAATCTGGGGAGAGATCATCAGCTGTTCCATGGAGAGGGCGTGCTGCGGCAGTCGCTTGTGGATTCTGATTGCGATCCCAGTTCTCGTTCAGCTCCATTCAGCATTGGTTGGTACCGTCGCAATGGCAATCTGGTGGCTGACCTTGCTGGGCCTTTGTCTCAGTCTGCAGCTCGGCTCGGCGTTGCAGGTGCCGCAGCACAACTGCGATAGGTATTTCTCCTACTACAAAGAGGGCTGTGGAGCCTACATTGGCGTCTTCACCGCACCACGCGGCGGTGTGAACAGCCTATCATGGGAGGTGGTCTTCACTGCTCACGGAACTGAACAGGTAAGGCCCCACCGCTTATATAATGTCTTTGGACTATTACATACTGAATTCCCCACATGCAGGCAAACACTGTGAGCTCCCTCACTCCGTATCCCAATAAGGAATCTGCCTTTGAGAAGATACACAGAGGAGAACGTGGCGAGGTTTTTGTCCGCTTCCAGGACTTCGGAAACGAGCTGCCCAAACTAGTCCGGGTGAAATTTAACGACGAGGTTCTCTGCCAAAACGAAGAATGTGAGTGACAAGCCAGCAACATAGTTGCTTAGGTTACCTACTAAACTATTCTATTGATATTCTATTTACCAATTATTCTTTTACGATTGCTTGTTGATCTTCTGCTTGCCTTTTGCAGATGACGCCCCTTCGAGCACAATGACCCGACGCCAGACCATGTCCACCTCATCGTACATTGGACAACAGTCAGCCCCAAGGGAAATGGTGCCCCAGTCGCGTCCAGTGCAGAGCACATCGAGCATTGTCTCCAATCCATTCCTTCCTCAAATCAGGCCCAGAGTAGAGTCCGACTTTGAGGAGTGCGGCGTGGAGGGCTTTGCGCCCCTTCAGATTGGAGGCGACCTGGTGACCCGTGGTCAGTATCCCTGGCTAGCGGCTCTTTATGAAGGGGCATCCACGGTTTCGTACAAATGTGTGGTCTCGGTAATCTCGAAGCGGACTGTGATGACTGCAGCTCACTGCATTTATGGAAAGAGTGCCAGCCAACTGTGGGTCTATCTGGGCAGGCATGATCGCAACGAGAATCCTGAGAACGGAGCCTCTCTGGTCAGCGTGCGCAGCGTGCTGACTCCGTCCGCCTACGAGGGCAATCCAGTTCCGGACGCGGACGTGGGCCTGCTGGTGCTGAACGAGCCGATGGTGTACACCAAGTACATTCAACCCCTCTGCCTCTGGGGCTCCCATATGGGCTTGCCGCCGAACGAGGGCGACACCGGAGCAGTAGCCGGGTGGGGCTACGACAGGAGTGCCCAGAAGACGCGTTTTCCCAAGACAGTGAGTGTGCGATTGGTGCCTCGGGATCAGTGCCTCAAGGAGATGAAGCGGGCGGAGGACTTCATCACGCAGCGCACCGTATGTGCTGGCAATTCAGAGTCACATGGTCCCTGCTTCGGAGACTCCGGATCTGCTCTGATCGTCCTGCGAAACAATCGATGGTACGTTCGGGGAGTGGTGTCCTTATCGCCTCGCCGCGGAGATATTTGCGACCTCAGCAAGTATGTCATCTACTGCGATGTTGCAAAGCACATCGACTGGGTACGTCAAAATATGGTCATGTGAGGCGCTCAAGTAATTATGATGTGACGATACAGGAAAACACAGCAATTGATGTACAAAATTCTCAATAAATCTTTAAGTTCTATAGAAGATACCTTTTCCAAGCCGCTGGATTTTCCAAGCAGGCATTGCTGCCATCAATCAATTAAGTATACATGAATGCCTTGCCTTAGCACTATAACTTAGTTATACAGATGTTTTTAGTCATTGATTACAAGTTTTCTAAAGAGGCAGATTACTTGATCAAGTGAGAGCTCATCAGAGAGTAACATGCAGCAGAATTCCTCTAATTGAGCTTAAGACTATAAAACTATAAGCGAATTGAGCTTTGTGGCAGATCTCTTGATATTAATTCAATACTTTAGACTCAAGAGCGGGAAAAACGGCTGTTTTGGCAGGTATTCTCACTCACTAACTAAATTTTCTCCTTATCAGTAAGGTTTTCTTTTTTGCTAGTCCATATTGAAGGCGGCAATTCGATCTATGATCGTTAGGTTTCTATTAAGTCGATGGTAATGTATAATCTCTTTGAATTTGAGATTTTGTTTTCTTTATACAAGTTTAATGTGCAGGGGGTTTTCGCTCAGAACACAGATGGCAGATGACTGCGAGGCATTCGAGTACGAGGTACCAAGGGTATATTAGTTAATAAGCAATGGCTTGCCATGAACAAGTTCCTTGGGAAGCTGTGAAATCAAGGCAAGCACTTACTTACTCCACTAAATCGATCAAAATAAACTGCGCTGGTCACTCATTGCCATGGTAAAACTATGCTTTTGTTGATGACAAAGTATCAAATAGTCGGATTAGTTCCTAAATGTTTTGATGGACGCTGTGCCTGATTGGCTCAGCACGATGCGGAATTTCCAGTTTTGCTCAACACCGATACTCAGTGACTCAACAAGCCGTCGAGATTTGTAAGTGATATTCGATGCTCGCAATCAGTTTTATTTATCCGCCGTGGGCTGTCGCGTGCGGAACCGATAGCTTCTTTTCTAATACAAGATTCCGGGAAGGCATGGGTCTGGAAGTGGTCGTAGTTGTGTCGCTAATCGCCTTGGCCGGGGGCCAGCTTGTTCCGGAGAACTCGTGTCCGGACTACTTCCGCTATGTCAACGATGCCTTCCAGGGTGCGCAGGGCGAGATTACGCTGCCCAGCTTGATGCGGGGTCGGAACCGCATAGATATACGCTTCTCGCAACAGGGCGAACAAGATGTATGAACTGGCCAGCTGTCTTCGCGGTGAATTGACAACCCAACTGACCACCTTAACCCCTCGCATTTCGCAGGCCTCTTACGTGGGTTCCCTGCTGCCGTATCCGGACGAGAATACTGTACGCCAGAGTAAGGGTTCGGCCAAGTTTCGGATAGCCCTCAGACCAAATTCATACAACGGATTGCCCAAGCTGACAAGACTGTCCTACAATGATCGGCTCTTGTGCTCGGCCAGCGAATGTGAGTAGCTTGTGTCAGGTTCTAGAAATAGGTATTGTCTTCCAGCGGTTTGAAGTTGCCTGTAGTTAATATGCATATTTGCTGCTGAATTCTTTTGAGCCCTGTTCCAGACAGTCCGCCCAACAGCTTCTTTGGCCGCTTCTGGGAGCTCGAAATCAGTGAATCACAGGCTTCCTTTGCTTCATCCGCATTCAATCCCTTCACCCGGAATGGCTTCGATGTGAGTGTTCAGACCGTATTCTATCCTAGCTCTTCACGTGGCAATGATATCTGGCGTGGTTTTACGCAGCCCTGGACGACTGTGTCCAACAGAGGACCAGCAGCGGTCACTCCAGCACCCACTCGAACTGAGATTTTGTGGGATAAACCAGTGCAAAGTGTTTTAGTCACCTTGGGGCCACCTGTACCAACTATAAGGAACACCCCAGCACCACCACCTCCACTTCCTTCAACAGTGGCAACCGTTCCACCGCCGACTCCACCACCTCGGCGCTTCGATCCGCGATCCCAATTGTCACCAGTAGTTTGCGGTAGAGAGGGCACCACAACTCCGTTTATTGTACATGGAAACGATTTCGCTCGAGGCCAGTACCCCTGGCTCTCGGCCGTCTATCACAAGGAGGTTCGGTCTCTGGCCTATAAGTGCGGAGGATCCCTGATCTCGGCCAGCATTGTAATCAGTGCCGCCCACTGTGTGCATCGGAAGACGGAGGACCGCGTGGTCGTCGGACTCGGACGCTATGATCTGGATGACTATGGAGAGGATGGGGCCGAAATGCGCAATGTGCTGCGATTGCTCTGGCATCCGGATTACAATACCCGCACCTATTCAGATGCGGATATCGCTTTGATCACCATTGAGCGGCCTGTGACGTGAGTATCTTAATAATATTTAAATTCTTTGTAAAAAGATCGCTGAGACAGCATTAAAGCTTCCAGTTCAAATATTGTAGCCACAAATATGTGCATCTTGCAGAAGCTGATAATTTATTACTCATAACCAGCGATACAGTATGAAATCCATATATTGAAGCATGTATTATAAGGACTATTATGTGGATTTCAGGTTCAACGACATTATAGCACCCATTTGCATGTGGACGGTGGAGGCAAGCAGCAGGGTGTCCACCACTGGCTTCATCGCGGGTTGGGGCAGAGATGAGAAGGACAGCTCCAGGACCCAGTATCCCCGCGTGGTGGAGGCGGAGATCGCCAGTCCGACGGTCTGCGCCAGCACCTGGAGAGGCACCATGGTGACGGAGCGCAGTCTATGCGCGGGAAACCGGGATGGATCTGGACCCTGTGTCGGGGATTCCGGCGGTGGTCTGATGGTCAAGCAGGGCGATCGGTGGCTGCTCCGCGGTATTGTGTCTGCAGGGGAGCGCGGACCTGCCGGCACCTGCCAGCTGAACCAGTATGTACTGTTTTGCGATCTGTCCAAGCACATCAACTGGATAAACGAAAACATCCGCTGAGCATCCGGAGTGGCTTTGTGGGCAATCGAATTAAAAACTTTAATGCCAAAACATATTTAGATGTTTCACTGTCTGGTGATTTTCGGCCAAACGAGTTTGCGCCTCTCTTTCAATTATTTTACTTACAATGATGGATGATTGGTGAGCCAAATGCAGTATCGAATGTTAGACTGCTGCGCGTTGGCAATACTTTATAAAAAATAACCTTTTAATAGCTGGGACACACTCATTTTACAGTGGGAATCAAAGGAATCCGCATATTTTGGGATTTGGCAAAACCAGCAAATAATAACACCGATTGTTCTGGCCTTTCTGCAGCTTTAAGTAAGTTTGTATCTTGCACTTTAATGGCTATGTGCAACTATATGACGTAAAAGTAAACATATACGAGTGAGCCCACGTGTTGACTGCTAAATGATTGACATCGGCTGAACAAATGTTTGGCAAGCGTGCTGCACACTTAAGTACAGAATAAATTGGCTATAAAAGGGCAGTACGATGTAAAGACTCTTAGGGACTGGTAAAATGATGAAGTGCACCGGCTTTCTAAGCCTCCTGGTGGTTCTGTTGGCCTGGAATGGCAGAGTTCTGGCAATAGAAACTGCCTTTGATATCTGGAACAAATTTGGAGACGGTGGAGCTCTGCCCAATGATCCGGAACGGCTAAACGAAAAAGGTATTTTGGTTCTCAATCCCACTAACGAACTGCAGGACAAAAATGAAGGTACGATAACGCAATTGAGGAATCTTCTTGACAATTATGTGGGGAAATTATTATCCGATTTGCCCAATACTCGGAAAAAGAAAAGGAGGCAAGCACTGCAGGAATCACTGCACACTTTAACTGGTCTGAGTTTGAGCATATCCCCATTGCAAAATACCCTGTCGAACATCAAGAACCAGGAGGAGCAACTTGTCCCAAAACTCAATGTTCAGGAGGAATGGAAGTTCTGGGCTGCCGCCAAGGTTTCGAGAGTTCAGGAGTCCACTAGAGGGCTTAGGACCGCGGAGGCTGTCTCCATCACTGAAAACCTCAACAATCGTTACGGCCTTCGATTGCGCAGTTGTGTTGGTCTGTTTATCTGGAACCAGATTCGGTTTAACTTGGACTTGGAAAGCACCCTAAACGGCCTCCAAATTTCAACTGGGCAGCTGATCGATGCCTCTGAAGGCTGTTCCAGCGTCAAGCCAAAAACGTGCCGCCGGGACGTGAGAAGAGCTATCGATGGCATCCAGAATGCTCCACAGAATCTGCTGAACCTGCGGAATGAGGGCAATCAGTTGGAGGACATCCAAAGGCAAAGCAATCAGTGTGTGGAGAAAACTCTCAGGGAATATGCCGAGGAGCGGGTCGAGGTGGAGAGACAGCTGGAGGATATAATCGCGGACTATCGCGAAAGTGAAACACCCAGAAAATAGGTGGGGAAATAACCATTTACAATCGAATATTATTGAACACTTTATATAATCAAATCGCAGGCGAACATATAACAGGGACAGCACATAAACAGGACCTCTATTGCACCCAATTTTAAACAGAAAAATAAATATTACATCAATAATACATCTTTTATGAAAAAGAACCAGCAGTTTCATTCATTTTCTTTGTGCTGCTTACATGTGAACGAAAAGCTGAAAAAATATGACTATTATTATATAGTATTATTTCATCCCACTCCCGGATTGACTAAAATGAAGTGATCTATCGAGGCGATGTGAAAATGGCATTCTAGACGCGGTAGAAAACGAAATATTTGCATAATGGAGCTTGGCATGTGGCTGTGCAATTTGCACTCGAGAGTACGAGTATAGCTCCAAAAATGAATTCTAAAAACCCACAAAGTGGGGAGCGCCACTGACTGTAAGATAAGTCGGGAGACTTGGATCGCGTAAATCACTTGCTCATTGAGTGAGTCTTTTGAGTCATAGTGCGAGTAACTAAATGCACTATAAAGTACACTGGAAAAGCTCAGCTCTTACGCAGTTGCAATGAGTCCGCATCAGCTGGCGACCGTTCTCCTCCTGGCTTCTCTGATCAACTTGGGTCTTGGCCAGGTGCCCCGGAATGGCTGCTCTCCGCGATTCCAGTACCAGGGCTATCTGGGGCAGTACATCGGCTTGGTGAAAGTTCGTCATCCAGTGGCCAATAACCAGACGCTGGTCCTGCAGTTCTCCCAGCAGGGATACCATGACTTTAACGTAAGATTCAGCATGAGATTGGCCTGCAAGTTCTCAATTCAAGATCAGTTGCTTCTGTTATCACTTTCCTTCCCATGCGGCAATGACAATTGCACATGGCGTGAATATTTACGTAAACAAGCCTAATACAGAAAGCCATGTTTCCTTTTTATTCTTAGGACTACGTGGGCAGTATTTCGTTGGTGGATGATGATGAAGTGACCCAGCAAAATCTGCGCCAGGGATTGCCGATTCGGTACCGTGTTGATTTCCCCATTCCAACAATACCGCCGAAGATAACTAGCATGCAAATAAATGGCATGGAACTTTGCGGTGGCTTAGAGTGTAAGTTCTATCTAGTTTCTATCAGATGCAATTTAGGGACGTATATTTTTTCCAGATCCTAAGCCAAGAACTGGCATTACGCTGCGAATCACTTGGACGCCCTCCTACATATCAGTTTTCGGGGCTAATCCCCAGCCTGTGCCAACCCGACCGCAACCCACTTGGCCCCAAGAGGAAAGTCCACAGATCGACTACAGAGAAACCAGGCCCAGTCAGCCAAGACTGGAGGATAGCGGAGAGCTGTTTGGAAGGAGTAATGAGTCACTGCCAGCGTTCCGGAATCCCGGAAGGGGATCTGCCCCTCAGCAGGCGAATCAGAGTAGAGGTACTACCTCCCAGCCGAGGATAACAAATCCCGCTCCACAGCGGACGACACCAGATCCTAGTCGATCTTCTGCCCCAATCGGTGAGCAGACGGTGAGAAGCCCTGTGGATCTTGTTCCCCAGCAGAACCCTTCATCCAATGGGATTCCGTGCGGTCGGGAGCGAGCTAGTACCACTCCATTGATCTTCCAAGGAACAAGTCTGGAGCGAGGTCAGCTGCCATGGCTGGTGGCGATCTTCCAGCGACGGGAGAGCAACGGACCCGCCTTCATCTGTGGAGGAACCCTGATCTCCACATCCACGGTGCTATCGGCCGCCCACTGTTTTCGTGCTCCTGGAAGGGACTTACCCGCCTCTCGACTGGCCGTCTCCTTGGGACGAAACACTCTGGCTATTCACTCTGATGGAGAATTTCGCGGGGTATCCCAGCTGGTCATCCACGAAAACTTCCAGTTCAAACAGTTCACGGAGGCCGATTTGGCGCTAGTTCGGCTGGACCAACCTGTGAGGTGAGTCCATAAAACAAATATATTCAATTTACGACACTACTGCTTTTTATACTCTTATTATAACAAGGTACACGGACTACATAGTGCCTATTTGCCTCTGGAGCACCAGCAACCGCATGGATTTGCCCCAGGGTCTGGGGAGCTATGTTGCCGGCTGGGGACCTGATGAGACCGGCACCGGCAACACTGAAGTGTCCAAGATTACCGACCTAAATATCGTTACCGAGGCGAACTGCGCCGAGGAGCTGCCCCATGTGCTAGTCCAGCCGAGCACCCTGTGTGCCAAGAAGGCGGGAGCAGGACCTTGTGCCAGCGATGGAGGCGGACCATTGATGCTCCGGGAACAGAACGTTTGGGTGCTGCGGGGAGTGATCTCCGGAGGTGTGATCAACGAAAAGGAAAACACCTGTGAGCTATCCAAGCCATCCGTATTCACCGATGTGGCCAAACACATAGAATGGGTTCGCCGGAACATGTGGAATTAAACAGAAATTCAAGCTGGCCAAGCTGAAGTGCATGGCGTCCTTCTGTAGAGATTCCCAATCATGAGTGTACTCCAAATCACGTAATCCGAAGATCTATGTATTACTGCCTACTACTGCGCTATGGGTAATTCTAAGTGGATTCATTAATCATGGAAAAATTAAAGCCAAGCGGAGCACTTTGAATACCCTGCAAACTTTTTCGTACATGATGTTTTGAATATCTTTATCGTTCTTTGATCAATCTTTTTATCATTACCATCAAGTGTAGTACTTAAATTATTATTATTTGACTGAAGTCAGATATGTATTTTTGCTCGAAAAAATAATTCCAAGTCAAACCCAGTTTGAATCGCCAAAACCACCTTTGAAGAGTATTACCTTGGGAGCCAACCAGCTTTGTATTCCGCTAGATCGGAAACTAATGCGAATTGGCTGAGCTAAAACCAATCATTCATCGCGCGACTCTCAATGAGTGCGGTTTGACCTCAGATCGAGAGATTGGTTGCATGCTGTGCAATTGCAGTCGCATTTAGTTTTCATAAATATTTACTATTCCGGAAAGGGTTTGTACTCGCGATGTGGCACCTGCAGCTGCCTGGTTTTCTGATCGCCATGCTGCAAATCGGCTATATAAGTGCCCAAAACCTGCCATACATCCAGTGCCCGTTGATATTTCGGTACCTGGAGTACGAGAATCAGTTCATAGGACACTTGAAGCTAGTGCTGGATAGAACGAATACGGACAACGTGGTGCGAGTTGAACTTTCCCAGCCTGGCAGAAACACCCCGGTAAGTGCTCCCAATTGTCCACCCCGTTGTAGAGTTTAGTGTTTGGCAACGTTGGTGTTATCAAGCATTGACCTTACTCTCAGATGGAATCTACGATTTTCCACAATCGATCTGGGCGATCTGAGCTCATTGGTCAAGTTGATTCTCATGGGAATTGCATGGCTGATAAGGCAAGTCGCGTCCGGGAAAACACCCTGCCACTCAGCTCCCCAGCTCCCCAGTTCGATTCTCTACTGCTTTCCTTAAAGTTGTGGAACAGGTTTGCCGAACAGAGCTCTGCCTCCCCAGCTCAGCTGCTTAAATTGTTATTGCTCTGCCAGAGCTTCGGTTTTGCCAGTTGAGCCATGTTTACATAGGTATAAGCCCCCCGTGACGTCGGAATTGGAATTTGTAATTATTCTATAGTGACGCAAGCTGCTAATCTACTTTTGAACTCTCTATTCTTGTTCCAGTCGTCTCCGGGCGCTCTCAACTTCTTGGAGGATGAGGATTCGCTGAGGCATCGCTTGTTTAACAATCAGCCCATCAACTACAGAATCGACTTTCCCACGCCGGGCGTGGTGCCCAAACTTACAATGGTTTCGGTGAATGGAGACATCGTGTGCGAGGCTCTTCCCTGTAAGTAAATCCAAACAAATTTTAATTTATATGTCCAGGAATGTAAGTTTTATTTCAAGCGAAATACGATACAAATACTTTTAAGTGCTATTTAATATTTGGTTCAAACGATGGTATGCATTTTCTAAAAATGGCTTATAATAGCAGGAAAGATAACAGACTCTATTATGTAGGCATGTATTCGGAATAAGTTACTGAACTGAATTTCGCTTTCCTTAAAGATGGATCTCCAAGCTCAAGGCTAAGTTTGTCGCGCACCCTGCGAACTTCTGTGCCCTTGTCAGCAATTCCGCCTTCTCAGCGAACTGATCACCAATGGCCTCGGGACCCTCAGAGGAACTTCACGGTGTATGAGGAGGCGGAGGAGGAGGAGATCCCTCAAAGACGCCGCCCACAACAGCCTCCTCCAAGGCCACGCCCACAACAGCCTCCACCAAGTCCGCCCCCGCGCCCGCTCCCGCGCCCACAACCCGTGCCCCAACCAGAGTTCCAGAACTCAGCCAGCCCTCCAGTTCGAAAGCCGAATCCGCCCGCGCAAGTATCCAAGTCCTATCCCCAGACAATCGGAGAACTGAGCGGCATCTGTGGGCGGGAAAAGGTCATCCAGACACCCTTCATCCACAATGGCATCGAGGTGGAGCGGGGTCAGCTGCCCTGGATGGCAGCTCTTTTCGAGCACGTGGGCAGGGACTATAACTTTCTGTGCGGCGGAACGCTGATCTCGGCCAGAACAGTGATCTCGGCTGCCCACTGCTTCCGCTTTGGCAGTCGCAACTTGCCGGGCGAACGGACTATTGTTTCGCTGGGGCGTAACTCCTTGGACCTCTTCTCATCGGGAGCTACAGTAGGTGTGTCGCGACTGTTAATCCACGAACAGTACAACCCCAATATATATACCGATGCGGATTTGGCACTGCTGCAGTTGGCCAATCACGCTGAGTAAGTACATTTAATGATTCACTTATTGTGTCAAATTTGCTAGCTTAGATTTGCAACTACACTTAGTATTGGAGACTACATCAAGCCCATCTGCTTGTGGAATGAGAACTATCTGCTCGAACTGCCCTCGGGTCACAAGAGCTATGTGGCTGGTTGGGGTGAGGATGAAAAGGGCAACCGGAACTCGCGGCTGGCCAAAATGACCGACACGGACATCATCACCCAGTGGGAATGCCGCGGAAATCTGTCCGAGGAGAACGCCAAGTTCATCACCTCGCACACGATCTGCGCCAGCAATGCCCGGGCATCCGGCCCCTGCAGCGGAGACTCCGGCGGAGGACTGATGCTCCAGGAGCAGGACATCTGGATGCTGCGCGGCGTCGTCTCGGCCGGACAGCGAATGACCAACAGATGCAATCTGACACTGCCTGTCATCTATACGGATGTGGCCAAGCACATCGAGTGGCTGATCAGGAGCATGTGGTTTTGAGAGATTATCCACGAGACTAGATGAATTGAGTGCCAAAATAAATTGTAATATAAATTATAATTAGGTATATAACTTCAGAGTACAGAAAGTAGTATCTTTCATATTAGGTTTCGAGCTCAACTTGGCAACACATGGTAAAAATTACTTTGAGTTCTGGTTACCACTTAGGAAATCGAAAATATTTGTGTATTTTGTGTGCACCAAAAACTTGTGCTCTCCATTCTGTGAAAGGGTATCTCAATTGAAAGATTGCCTCGGCCAGCAGACCTGCCAGCGGCGATTTGTCAAAGCCAGCAATTGCATTCCATTTGCATGCAGTTGAGGCATTCACTCAGCACAAATGACATCGCAACGTTGTTCCCTGTCTCGTAATGAGAACAAATGGAGGTGGCGTCGAAAGTCGCGTCGCAGTCGCTGGCGAAACGCTGGGAAAACGCGTCGGTGGTACAACAGGTGCTTTCCCGCATTTCAGCTCGCTCTCTCATGTTCCTCCTCTTTTAGTCTCTCGCTCGCTCCTTCTCTCTCTGCGCAGCGCACATATTCCGCCTGGCGAGCAGCACATCCTGTTGCACGGACTCCTCGGCTCCGGCGGCACTCGAAAGTTGTTGCATACTCTACGGCATTGGTCGTTCTCCGCCGTACTGATACCGTTAGTCGTGCGTATCCGGACAGTCGACGTTCAGCCTTCAGTTCGCACGGTTCGGCAAGCGGTGGCCATCTGGAGAGATAGCGCCAGATAAGCAACCAGCCAATCCTTATAAGCGGACATAAGCCCGAGTGCCGATCGAGAATTCTTGACGGGCGTGCGTGTGTGTGTGTGCGAGTGTGTGTGTGTCAGTCAAGTGTGTGCGTGGCACGAGCATATACGTATATGGTGCATATGTATTAATCATCTGAGCAGTGACTTTAATGCTGTAATTTCGCCTGATTGATGGCTGGACATGACTCTGGGTCGCGTTTTCCGCGTTGCCTGAATCCCAAATCCAGCGAGCTCCTTAGTCCGTCTGAGCATGCTTGAATTGCCGCATTTAGTATCGAAGAAGTGTATTAGCAGAATGCTGCATTGCCGTAGTCGGGCAATTTATTGCCGTACCCGCAACTGAGAATCTCTCGCTGAAAAGGGGAAGCAACCATCCAACCATCCAGCCATCCAGCCATCCATCCATTCATCTACACACCACACCCATTCGGTTTCCTAATCATCGTTGCTCCAATGACAAATGCGATGCGGGCGATTGCTGCAATCGCAGCAGGAGTGGGTTCAGTGGCCGCCACGGTCGCAACCAGCACCACCAGTTCCATCAGCAGCAGCACCACCACCATCAGCACCAGCAGCGGCACCACCATCGGCGGGAATAACACCAGTGGGAGCACCGGATTCCCAACCAATTCCACGCTGCTGGACGCCGATCATCTGCCGCTGCAGCTCACGACCGCCAAGATGGACCTGGACATTGAAATCGACATCCAACTGCTGACAAATGGCTACGATGGCACAACGGTAAGTTGCGGAGGAGGACCGGAAAGCGGGCACTCCGGGCGGAAACGGGGCCCGGAGTGGGTCGATTGTATTTATGTGGCTGCCAACGAGGCATTCATTGGGCTTTGGCTTTGGCTTTGGATGCGGCCTTAGCTTTGGCTTTATGTCCAATGTGGAGCTCGTAAAAGGCGCAGAACACGGCAAAAAAGCGATAGTCTAACATCAGATTTATTAAAATTGTGATATGCTATTAAAAGCTGTCAATCCATAATATTACTATATGTCGATTACTATATGTCAAGGAATCAACTATTTGTGGAATACAATCCCTATATGTTTCTCCTTAAATAATGGTGGTTTTTTCTATCTATTTCTGTTAATGTGTACATCCAAGCATCACGATTATGTTTTCAGTGTAGTTTCAGGTATCCACCGCCACTATAATTTACAATGTCTTTGTCTCCGATCGGGTGATGTAGGGTATTGGCCTTCATGAGCATTTCACTTTTATTACGTGCTGGCATATTTCCCGAACATTGTCGTAGAATTTTCCGGGCGGTTCCGTGGTTTATGGGGCGTATACGCAATCCGCGGGCAGAGTGCCTAATGAATCGTCAAGACAAAGGGGTGCACAAAGTTATCCAATGGGTGATTATCACCCGATTATCACACACATGCACCGCACGCCCTCATAATATTTAATACAAAGTTTAAATTATAACAAAAGGTTGGCAGTTAGCAAAAGTTTTCTCCGTTGGCATTCCTTTTAATTTATATCACTTCTAGCCAACCAGCTGGTAAATGAAAATGAATGCGAGCCTCATTAGCAGCCAGCACATGGAGAAACTTTTGCTAGGATGCGAGTACACACCTCCATCGATGCATAATCCGCTTTTCAAAGGAACTCCGCCAAGGATGTATACCAAAACCAAAGTTTATCCCTTTTTCATTCGTGTGTATTTTATTTTCCTCCCCCTTTTTTTGCATTTATTTTTGCTTTTTTGGGAGAACGAGCAATTTACGTGCTTGGTGTGGCAGCAGCAAAGGATATGAGGCAGCGCACGCAGCCGACGATGACATAGATATAGATCTAAATACTTGTTGTGTGGAACGGCAAAGTTGGCTCATCTGTTCGCACGTTTAACTTTCAATCGAATGTAAATAATGAGTATCACGTAAGTTGGGTGGAGCAGGGCCATTTATCGCAGGATCACGTTGTCATCATGTTTATGTGCCGCACATTTTTCACGTGAATAGATTTTCAACTAATTTCCAAACTGTTGAGGGCGTGCTTACTGCCCGAACTCACCGAACGCTAACTGGTTCAATTTTAGCTAATTGCCTGTTGAAAAGTTGGCAATTTTCCATTTACACGATGCATTTACATATGCCGAGTGCACTTGCTTTTTTATAGACCAGACAACTTGAGACTGGTCTCAATTGAGGAGAGCTAACCGCAGGTTGACACTGACATTTGTGCCCATCATCTGTCAGCAGAAAATTGTCTTTTGGGGCGTATTTTTTCATCCGGCATTTCTTTTCTCTGGCATTTGCATAATGCATCACGCATACGCCGCGTTGTGCATTCTAATTGAATTATTAATTTGCACTCACGTATCTTGGCTGCATGCATAAAAAGCGAGCTTATGCTCGAACTTTTCATGAATAGTCCCCAGTCCCCAACGCCCTGTTACCTCCTTTAATCCATTGTGACTTCGCGTTCTTGGATGGGATTCCGCATTTTCTAGTCGCAAGCAAAAACTTTGGCTTGCCATTGTTCGCAGGCTTTGCATAGCAATAATAATAAAATATTAATAGACTTATTTGTTATTGCCGCTGCCATGTGGACTGCGCTTTCCATTCAGCAAATCCCCTCCATTGTTATCCCAACGCACATATATTCTGATATATATATCCGAATTGAACCAGAGCCTCTGGAATTTGCGCAATTTCCGCCGGCAATTTATCCAAAGCAGTGGGCAGCAAGTGGGAGGGGGCGTGGCCCGATTGCTATCGATAGGCTGGCCAATTGAAATCAAGCTCGTATGGTACAACTGTAGTTGTTTGCTTTTGGCGACTCCACAATTTATTGGAGTGAAATTGTTCGCTGTTTTCAGCAAGTCCAACGCTTAATTGCAACATTTTCCTTTGTGGTTCATTTGGGTAGTATTTGACTGAATGAGACACTAAAAAATATTATTAAGCTAGGATCAACGTGTATAAATTACAATTTAATGAAATATTCTTTAAATTGTACAGATTGTATTTTTAGCATTTAACAATTATCGAATGATTAATAGTAAAAGCAAATCAAATCTCTTTTTTCCCCCAACGCCGCTACTAACATTATGTTTAAGCCCAAAAACTGTTTTTTAAATAACATTCCAACGAGGCTTAGCAAATGTTTTAAAGTAGCACCTATTGGTCGTATATATTTTATGTTTTGTAGAAACTTTGTTGCTAAAGTATTCAAGTTTAAAACTAAAGTTTTCTTAATTAGGATGCTTTCCTTCTGACATAGATCTTTGCGGTATTCGGAACTCAATCCTGTCACAAAGATTCCATTATTCTGGTAACTTTTTTAGGCGTACCTCTAAATAAGATGCTTTCGGGCGGTAAATTTCAATTAGATGATGGCCACATAAAACAAGCAGTCGGAGAAGTGTAGGTGCATAAATTTCGCCAATTTCGCCTAATTAAATGTGTGTGACAGCTGGCTGCCATAATCACGGGGCCAGCCGCAATATAAATGAGCTGAATGCTGGATTTCCCCCAGAAGAGGGTCATGTATGTAACATATACAATGGGTAACATACATGGAAACCGCATGGGACACACACATGACGGAACACAGTGCCCCACCAAATGGAGGTGCATCCCGATCCCGATTGTGAAGCCACCATCACGGCCATTCCACATTAATCTTGGCCACAAGAGCCACAATGTGTTTGTCTAGGTGTTCCCATTTAATTGCACCCTCCACTCTTCTCCACAGTGACTTACGTTTTTTGCTCTGTTTTTGCTGGTGGGTATGGAAAAGGAAAAGCGAATGAAAATAGCGAGTTATTCGTGATTTTTATGTTGTCTGCATTTCGTTTACCTCTTTCATTTTAGGGCCAGGTGAATGGGGCTAAGGATTCACGATGAGCAGTCGGAGGGATTCAGAATTCACTAAGCCCAAAAGGTTCGCTGCTGATTGACCATAAACCCAGTTTTTATTTGCTGCTGCTAGCCCATGTGTGTGTCTTTAGGTCCCTTTTATTTGTATGTTGCCCTTTTGCAGCCATTTTTATGGAGCTCTCCTCCTCGAGTTGAGCCCTCGGTATCATTGGTTCGCCAATGACACAAAAGTGCAGAACGATTACTCGTGACAAGTCAATTTAATGGGGCCACGACCATATAAAATTCCTAGGGTCATGTCAATCATCCGCGCCGGGTGTTCAAGTTTGCCAGCCATTGCCAAAACACAATCAAGATAATCGACTACATTTTTATTGCTGAGAAATCTGAGTTTTCTAGCAGCGGGAATATTTCTAAGCACTGGGAGAAACTATTGAACTACTTAGAACTACAACGACAAGGAAATCATAACCAAATCTTAACCAAAATAATATATTATTAATACTTTTCTGGGTGTTGGTGATCATCAGGGGCAATAAACACTTTTATGCTTCTACTTAAGCATTTACAAATGCAATTGTGTTTAACCTAATAGCTTAAAGTAATAGTTGAATGATTTTTTCTGTGTAGCTACTATAAAGAAAAACGAGTAATTGAATTTTTTCCGATATGGAAGGATAAAATGGGACCATCTGCCATTGAGACCACTGTGCAAGTGTGTGGGAACTTGACACTTGGCCAAGAGAAATCCGTGCGATATGGTTCTCTCTCAGCCATTCTAGTCGCCATTTTTTCTGCTTTCAATTGAAACAAGTGCAGTTGCATTGATGTATCTGTATTTACACTCCAGTGGCGTGTGAGTGTGTGTGTGAGTGTCTGCAGTGGTGTTTGTGTGCAGACGACACTTGTGCGAGTTAACGGGATGTTTGTGTTAAGCACACAACTGAACGCCACTGACTGACAAGTTTTTCCTTCGCTGCGCTGGAAGATCCCGAAAGAAAAAAGATATGCCAGTGGAAAAGTATAAAATCGATGCTGTTACAAAAATAGGAGATGCGGATGAAAATGGCATGCAGAAGATTAAGTTCGATAGGTTGAGCGATGGGAGATGGAGTTGCTGCACTTACAATCAACTCAAGAGCCCCCTCTTCTACCGCTCCCTGTGTTGCACATCCCTCCCTGTGTTGCACATCGGAAGCCCGGCAGCGTCATCTCCTGCTGCAGCTAATTATCCCGAAGTTGACAATACGCCCCGGGCAAATCAACATGGCAATCTGCTGAATAGCTGCCAAAACAAACAATCGCCGGCCCTCCGAAAATTGGCAGGCAATAGAGCAGCGATAAGGCAAACAATGCAGCAGCATTGGATTTACCTTCCAAGTGCCCAGAAACGCACAATGTCCAATCGCAGCACAACAATCGGGTTTTGGTAATTATCATTGCTATTGACTGAGTTTGGTGGGTGAACTTAATGTTTTGGTCTATCAAATATCGCTCTTGAGTCTGGCAAACCACACTAAAGTTTGTCTATTAAGCAAGCTTTATTGGAATAATAAAGGAATAGATTAAGAACATTGATTAAAAATCCGGAAAAGGTTCTCTGCGAGCAGCCATTTAATTGATGCTTGAAAGTTGAGAGCCGTAAAAGTTTATTTAAATTAGTAAAATTGAAACTAAAATTTATATATGAAATTGCAAACTCTGGTCAGCTTATCGTCCTGCGGTAATTAACGGGTTTACGATCTCGAAAAAGCAATTAACTAAGAGTATTTTCCAAGGATGCTCCGCATGCCCCAAATAAAATGAATTTTTAATAAGAACTTGCCACAGCCGGGGGCAGAATGGGATGTGGTGTCCCAACTTCATGTCCATCTTGGGGTTATTTTAATTATTTATCCGTCGGCAAATTCGACAGGAGCGTGTCCGTGTCTGCCATGTGGTCAAAGGTAGTGTCTTCAGCACGTCCGCAAAATGCCAGCCAAGCACTTGGCACAAGTGTGAAAACCCAGCTCGAGGGAGAATAAACTTGGTATCCATCATCGACAGCCGGAGGAATCTAATTAGTTCATTCATAATTGAGGACGCTGCTCATCTTGGCAAGCGCTCAACTGAAGGAGCAAAATCCCTACTTAATGTCACACACTTTTCCGCGCCATCAGGCGCTCATTTGCATTTAATGGCCATGCTTACATAGATAGATGCTGAGGACCTCAGTTGCGACAGTTTTGACAGGCAGACACATGTGTGCCCCTTTCTTTACTGTCGGCTTCGTTTAATTAAGCCGAAATTTCAACAAAGAACCCAAACACTCACGCACTTCAGCATTCCCGTTGACAGCTGTCTGCAGGAGCAACTTCTCCGACTGCCTTGAGTCCTGTAGGTCCTTGCAGGCCTCGACGGGCATTGACAGTCCAGACAATGGCCAACACATGACTCTCGCAATTGTCATTGCAGTTAGCATCTGCCGGAGTGTTCCTTAGCCGCACCACTTCCACCATTTTCACATTGCATAACGAGGCAGCAACTGTGTTTGGCTGAAGCCAAACTTTAAGTTCTGCAGGAAAGTTTACAGTTTACGAAAGCAAAGAACAAATATTGGTAGAGCGCATAAATCAGCTGTCTAGGCTCTAGAATTACCGCTTATACGTGAGATTCCCATCCCTCTGCGAAAGCATTTCTTCCTGCGACTTGCAAGAGACGCCCACAGCATTTCTTGTTTATTGTAAGAATTTAAATATATGCTAAGCAGCCAGAGCAGCGAATTTACTCGCTTTTAGCCACCCAGCCAAATGGGGTTCAATGCGCCGCACAAACCGTGGGCTTGCAAAGTTCAAAGTGCAGGAAAATTGAAAATGTATAAGGCACTGAACGAAGAATGAAAGAATTGAAAATGGAACACTAAGAAAGTTGAAGGCACATGGAAATTGTGCTATTGGAGAGTTCTATCATAATCTATCAAGGATCAAGGATAGCCACCAATAAAATTTGACATTCCTAAACAATTTCTTTCAATGTAAAAATTGCAAATTTGCTAGGTATTCGACAAGAAAATCTCATTATACATACAGAAACGCTCTTTGAACTGAATCGGAAACGTAGGCATAGTGGTTATGTTTTCTCCAGGTCCTTCAGCATTGTTAAGGACTTTTCGGTCTAGTAATTGTACAGAGCACTTAATTAACAACTATGCTGTGCCCCGGGTCATGTGGCAGTGGCAGTGATGTTTGTTATCCTTGCAACTCGTGTTACCGTTGGCGGAAGTGCTCAAATGACACTGTAAAGTGTGGATACTCGGCGAGTCCTTTGCTACCATTCGCATATTATTCAGCCTGTCGGCTCGTCCTTTTCCACTTGTAAATCACACTACTTCCGCCTACCCAGACGGCCAGACAAAGAACAGACAGTCGGATGGTTGGCAAAAATGCCACCTCTTACCTTGTTGTCCTGCCAACAGGTTTTGTGCCTTATTATTCTACGGCCTCCAGGTGTTCTCCGTGTGTGTGTGTGTGTGGGTGGGTATGTGTGTTGACGTTTAATCAACGCATTGTGCCATTTAACTCTGCAAACAATGCCAAAGCACCCAACTGCGACTCTAGCTAGCCTGGTATTCCTCACGTCCCACCACCCATATCCTTTTCCCTTCGCGGGAACCGAGGAGCCAGGCAGAGCTCCTTGTTGACTTATGGTGGCCTCCGGGGAACGGAGCGCGGACCACGAGCATTTGTTGTCCACTTTTATTGCCAATTAAATGCAGTAACTGGTGTCACAGTTGTTCCTTCTGTTTTCCTATCCTTCCCCCCGCCCCCAACTGTTAAAATATGTTTTAGCCCACACTTGGCAGATGCTTTGTTTAGCTTTCATCCTGCCCACTGTGGAAGCTTCTAAATTTAAGCATATAGCTCTTAAAATGGGGGAGTGCGACTTAGGATACTTTTCCAAATTGTGGAAACAGTGAATACTTCTTTAAAGTATAATTTTTTGTTTAAAATTGAGTACAAAAAAGTAAAATGTTACTTGAATCAATAGGCTTTGCTTAATAAAAATACTCACAATATGAAAAATATTGTAGGTTTTCGTTGCTACGAGTATAGAGAACACATTTTTGGATATATAAATGTAAAATATAAATGGAAGACAGCAGAGTGGAGACAATATGGAAAATAGTCAGCACTAGCATTTAAATATTTTGTGTGATAACACAGCGACTTTCAATTCTGTGATGAAAGATGTGGGCAAAGCCCAACTTAAATTAAGTGGAAACGGCGTTTTTTATGATCTCCGATGGAGGATATCGCAGTCACGCTTCCACTTCCGGACTGTTAACTGCGTTTTAATGATGCCTCTGCCGCCAGAGAAGCAGCGACATGAACATAAACATTAACATCAGTGTAATGTTCGGCTGCATCGCTGAATCTGGGCGGCAGCTGATGGTGAGTTTAATGAAAACTCACTTGACATGAGATGGCATTTCGTGTAAATTTTATAATCTTAAGTGTCTTTTGTTGTCCAGCGACATTGGCTCGTGACGTTGAGCATCATTTAAGTTTGCAATCCCTTTGGTAACCTTTTCCTTGTGTACTTAAGTGCTCCACTCTTATGCGAGTGTAGCTGGCGAATCAATATAGTTTATGAATAGGTAATCGCAGTGTAGTGCATTTATATTGCCGCCCGGAGCGCTTGTTGCTTTGGTCCAGTTAAATATTTACGCAATTTGAGTTATGGTCGAAGTGCCCATGGTAACCTTAATCTAAGCATGAATAAATTATGTTTTGTGAAAGGGATATACATGATATTGCGCATACGTCCCGTGGCGCAGCCCGTAAGTATGCTACATTTATGGCATTCTACGACCGCATTTGAGCCGATTAAACTAAAGTTTCCATTTCAAACAATTAACAATTTTAAAGTAATTAAGCAGCTTACGCACAGCGCACACACGTGCAGCAAGAACAAATTTAATTAAACAAAAAGTTCCCGGTCCAAGCGGCAAAAGTCTGGGTACCAACAAAATATATATATGGCGTCGGCAGTTTTATGTTTGAATTAATTAATTGCATTTGTCAGCGGTTTCGGGTCTGCTTTTGAGCATTTTATTATGGCCTTCATTATGGTTATTTATTCCCGTGGCAATAACGCGCAAAGGATACCAAGCTGCAGGCACTTCGGATCCTTTGAATTCTGCGAATCCTTTCCTCCTGCCCATGTAATTGCACTGGGCTCGCCGTGATGTACCCTCTCGTATTAATTAATAAATTAATTTACAGCACTCAACTGTTCAATCGAGTAAATAGTTGGAGCCACCAAAAGCGACGCCAACCACCGGAATGCCAACATGTCTGGTTGCCCAAAAGCAAAAGAAACCACAAGACAAATACCAACTCAAAGTTGCCACAAACAGATGGATATATAGACACACTCATACATGAATAGAGATTTCTTGGCCAAAACGTGGTGGGCGGGTAGGCGCTTAGTAAGACAAATTAATTTCACTACAGGCCTGGATATTTTCTCGAAATTTTGTCAATTTTAATTATGAATAATGCCACGCCGCTTGGCGGGCTTCTTGAAGAGAATTGCCTCTTGCGGTTCTGCCACAGATGCCACAAATGATTGATAGTTTTTTGTATGGCCAAGGCATGCGTGCCACAAGCAGCCAGGATGACAACGGCAAGAAAAATGAATGGGGCAAAGTTCAGGGAAAACTGAAGCAGACGCCAGCTAATTAAATTCGAAAAATATTTCACAAATTTAATTAGTTTGTGTGCGGAGATCAAAGACGTGTGGGAAAGCAACAACTCAGATACTTAACCACGGAGATGAACTGTGTGTTTATAGTTTTTTAGTTGATTATGGAATTTCAATGCCAATGTAGACGAAGCTCTCAAGCTACCATCACATAAAAATATATTGTAAGCCACACTTTACGTTTTTAAGCTCGGACTACATACTTTCCACCATGTAATAACCCATTGGAAACTCGTTCCATTGCAGTTGACATCGTTCTACAATGAGAGCAGCTGGACAAATGCGTCTGAAATGGATACAATAGTTGGTGAGGAACCGGAGCCGCTGTCACTTGTGTCAATTGTAGTTGTTGGTAAAGTAAATGTCGTTGAATGTACAGCAAAAGCCACCCCAACCAACACTCGACCACTTTCACCGCTCTCACGGACACGGACACGGACACGGACACGACAATTATCTGTAAATTGCATGTTGCATGTGACACAAACACGAATACCACGCACACACCCCCACGCACACCCCTCCCTCGATGTTCACCCGCCCACATAAGTATGCTATATGATGTAGATTCCTTAGCTGCGATTATGGGTGTGATATTTGATTTGGACTCGCCGCAGGCATCTTCCTATCGGTGCTGATATTCCTCTCGGTGGCCGGGAACATCCTGGTGTGCCTGGCCATCTACACGGAGCGCAGCCTGCGCCGGATCGGCAATCTGTTCCTGGCCTCGTTAGCGATTGCGGATCTGTTCGTGGCCTCGCTGGTGATGACCTTCGCCGGTGTCAACGATTTGCTGGGTGAGTAGCGTATCCCTAATGCCATGCGGTGGCTCCTCTGTCTGCGTAATGGAATATTGCAATTGAAATTCGCGTTAGCCCAGCAATGAAATTTATGCAAAATGCTGCAGGCGGTTCCCCTGCTGACGAAAATAAAAAATGAAAATATGGGAATATGGGAATATGGGCACCCACGGGGTGTTGCTCCTCTCAACCAGCCACGCACCACTCGAGCCCATTTGACATGCCTGGCAGCGCTTAAAGCCGGATTTTATGTGGCTTTGTCAATGCCTTTTAAAGTGTCAGCTGCATAAGTCGACGCACGAGTTACCCGACTTTTCCGAGTTTCCCGGCCGAGGGTCCATTGTGACTGCACAAGATTTCCCCCTGTGCTCCTGAGCTGTATACTAAAAACGAGGGCTGCCTTTGCATTTCCTAGCAAATAAACACTTGGCTTATGTCGGAATCCAGGCTCCAATTAAATTCCTTTGAAATATTTAAGGCATTTCTGCACAGAGACGTTTTAAAGTACAGCTCAAGTGTTTTAACTTAAGTATGTTACACACATTGGAGGAACCTTTTATGTTAAAAACACTTGAGTACCAAAGTACATACTTTAATTTTCGGTTTCGGTGCTAAAGGCTTTTAAAATAAGTTGATTTTCTTATAATTTGTTAATATTCGATTATTCTAATACCAATTGGTATTCTATACCAACACCAACTAATACTAATTGCTATTATTACAATTTCTATACATTTATTTATTCAAACTACAGCGCTGACCCTCGACACCTTAACGGTGGAGTCAGCCAAACCGGAATTTCATTTTATACCAGTTGCACATCTGGTGCCATGGCTAACATGCAGATGCCGAGTGCTACCACACATTCTGATTATTTTCCATTAGCCATTCCGAGTGCAGCAATGGCAGTCATTCCTTGAGTTATCCTGCCAGAGGATACTTTCCCATTCCGATACATTTCCCGCCATCGAGGCTGACAAAGTTTCGCCTAGAAAATGGAATGGCGCTATACTCGTATGTACTCATACCCAAACAATTCGAGTGCCGTTTATGGGTGCATTTTATTAATTCGAGCGGCAGCGGATATGGGAACATTGGCCAAGTAAATAAGAGGCAAAGGAGGGTGAACGGTTTAGTCGAGTTCCCAGACTATCAGATACCCAATACTGCATGCTCAACTTTTTAGCTTTCATAGTTCCTGAGATCGAGGCGATCATTCCTGACCAGGAATGTATGTACTTTTTAGGGTCGGAAACGCTTCCTTCCACCTGTTACATACTTTTCAACAATAATAGTATACCCTCAACTCTAAGAGTAAGCGGTATAATTAGGCAAGAACCATGCCATGCAAAACTTTTCAGCTGGCACATGGGTAATTGGGGGATCGAGGAGCCGGGCTAACAACGTGTTCCGGTTCAGGAAACATGCAGCTGACATCAATGTGTTAGGACTCGCTGGCACACGCGGGAAAAAGTGGAAAATCATAAACAGCAAACAAAAGAAGAAAACTGCGAGCTTGTCATATGAGTCTGAAAATGTGAGCGGAATCCAAAGCGAAGTGATGCGGTGAAGTGAAGTTGGGAAAATTGGGAGATGAGCTGAGGTGACATGTGTCAGAATGGCCAAACTGTGCTTGATTAAAGGGGACTTTTGGCTATAGCAGATTCAAGAGGGAATCTGGATATAGGTGTACTCAAAATTAGTTGCTTAAATGTCTGCGAATAAATGGAAACATTAGTCTAAAAAAGAAATGTATCAGTTTTAAAATTGCATTGATGCATTGATGACAGATACTATAGAAATAAATGGTCTTCAATTGGCCCCAAATATTCTTCGGCTTCCAAAACCCCCTCGAAAAAGTCCCCAATACGCCACTGCAACCACCGCCGCACCCCGCGGTGTGTGAAAATAATAAACGACTTTGGCACTTTGAGGAGACGAGTGCCGCGTAAGCGAGAGTGTGAAAAAATAAATAAAAACGCTCAGCTGCTCAAGACAAACAGATGCCTGGGGTCCTGCGACACCCACACTTATGCACACACACCCACACACCCACACACCAAGTGGCACACATGGAGGCAAATTATTTTCGCCAAGGCAACATTTAGCACGCTCGAAGACAGGCAAATCAGCAAATAAACATGGTTCGCAATTGGACAAATTCAAACAACAACAGACCCGGTGAAATCCGACAGATGCTGCCAGCCCGAGGAATCGGAAAAACATATAGCATAAGGAATACTTGTTGGCCAAGAGCTATTCATATGCGTACGAGTATGGGTGTGTATGTATATTGAAAACGGCATAAATTATTTGCTAACTTGAGTACAAGCTTCTGCTCTTCTTCGAACTGTCAGATATTCCCTCCTAAATCAGCTTTTTTTCGCTGCCATGGGCATTTTGCAAATGCTGAAGTTTGCTCAATTTTAAGCCAAGGGAGGGATATGAATCACTCCAAGGCTTAGCAGTCTCAAGTGCAAATGTGGTATTTTCAAGTCTAATCGAATCCTTGAACAAAGCTCTGATTTTCGAAGACAAAACATGCTTTCCAAAGATGGTTTATGGATTCCATTTCAAATTTACGAGTTCTTAAATTAATGATATTTTTCTTAGGAAACCCATGTTGCTTTACAAAATTAGCTACATTTAACATTTTTTTAATGATTTCATATACATACAATCGTGCGTTACCAACTGAAAGTCATTTCTGCTGACTGGCTCGGTCAACTTTGATATCCTGATAGCCTCGTCTTTTGATATCCTGATGAATGATTGCTGAGCTGGGTCGCAGTTGCTTCGGCGCTTCCTGTGGCATTTAAGAGCCATATCCTGCCGTACGCTTGATTAACTGGCATGAAAGCAGTACTGAGCATGAAATGCAGATTCTTATCGACCCAAATCATCAGTTGAATGCCACAGCACGAGTAAATACCCTTTTTATGTGGCAAATCTGTTATTGAACTCATGTGTACATCCATACCGCTCACCACTTTTCCAGGACTCAAAGGACATCCGTTTCTGGTCACGCACGGAACATCAATCGAGTAGGGCGTAATTGCAACACACTTATGAAATTGGCAAGCGGCCGAAAACTGAATTATTTGTTTTCACTCTTGGCCCGGCGAAATGAATTTTAAATAGCGAATGGCCCAAAAGGAGACCCTCGTGAGTGTGTGGGTGTGTGGGTGTGTGGGTGTGTGGGTGTGTGTTTGTGCATGTGTACGGGAAAGGGAAGCACAGGAAACGGAAATGAATTTATGAAATCATTTAAACTCAATTTACGTCGTGAATAAATAAAACAAGAACCTGGCGACACTGCTGACACTGGTTGCCTTTGCACTTTCTGTTGCTTTTCCGCTTTTCCCGGCTGCATTTGTTATTACCGCCGTGCAAATGAAACAACTTTTTTGTCGCCGTCCGGCCGCAACATAGCAATTTCCGCCACGTCCAGACAGAAAGTACTTATTAAGCATTTTAAACAAGCAATCAAACACTCGTTCACACCGCCTCTCCACTTTTTTCTTGCAGGATATTGGATCTTTGGAGCGCAGTTTTGTGATACTTGGGTGGCCTTTGATGTCATGTGCTCGACGGCGTCAATTCTGAACCTGTGCGCCATCTCGATGGACCGCTACATTCACATCAAGGATCCGCTCAGGTGAGTGATTGTCAGGATTGTGTCAGAAACATAAAATATCCAATCCATAACTAATTGTCCGGGCTGTCGGAGTTTGACGACGATGTTACTGCAGAGCTTCGTCCTCGAATCGATTCATTAATGTCAGGCCGTTGCAGGTGCTTTGTATGCACGTTACTCATACGCCGCGTTGTTATGCCTGTCACGTTTTTGCTCTACTGCTGCGGTCCTTCTCATTTCCAGGACTCGAGTTCTTTACGGCGAAAGGGGCTCATTAATCGACGCTCATAATTGTTTCATTAGTAACAGATTTATGGCGCATTACGAGAGTTTTTTCACTTCTCCGACGACTTCATCTTCAAGTTGTTGGCTAAGCACTTTAGGATCAGCGCTTCAGCTGCGGTTTTGTGGTAGCCAACAAAGTTCAGCCAAGTCATGCTCATTGGGTCTCCGGGTCAGGCCAACAAAGAGTCTCAAAAGAAGTGTCATTACCAGCTGGTGAAAGTGGTGAAGTGGCAATTTGGGTTGCTCTATCCAGATTGTGGCGGCTACGCCCCAATAATGTTGTTCTATGAAATAGTAAGGGCTCTTGTACAAGTATGTGGGCAGTTTAAGTGTAAAAAAATTAATGCAAGAAGCAAACCAAATTAAAATGGTAAAAATAATAATTGCGATGTGCTTTTTGTTGTTAGATTTTGTATCTATAATTGCAGAGCATGTCAAGAAAACCATTTGATATACTTGCAAGTATTTTGACATTTGACCAGCTGGCTTGGATATCGTGTTTTTCACACCCTCTGCAGATGACTTCATCCGTCAGCGAGCCGAAGGCTGTCCAAATGCTCCATTATCGCAGTTCAATCTACCTTGTATATCCGGCACGTTGCTCCAGCTGGGCTATCCCGGCAGGAAGCTCCAGAGGCAATCAAATTCTGCTGCCTCAGGTGCTGTGTGTCCTTGTGTACTTTCTAAGTGTGTCTGTGTGTGTCCTGGGTGTTTTGTTTGGAGTGGGTGTGGGTAGCTGTGCGCCTCCTCGACTGCGACAATGACAATGAGCTTGTCCTGCTGTCGTCGTGGCCTAAAACGCTGCCAGTCAGCCATGTTAGTCTGCTTTGTAGTCGTAGTCAGCAGTCAGCAGTTGAAATTGATTTCCAGTGGCGAGCAATGCTCACAAAAGCAGTCAGTCGAAAGTCAGCTCGGTAAACTTGAAACTAGTTTATCAAGCACTCCCCCAACCCCACACCAGCCACTCCCCGGCTTTTTCCGGCTGGACCAAAACAATTGTGTGTTAATTAAATTTTCAACAATGCCTCGGTCCCCAGAAGTGCAATCCTAGAAATGAATATTACATTTGCGGCCAAGAACAAGCGCACAAATGTATTATGTGTCAGCAGCCACAACTGAATTCCTTCATATTTGGCTTTTTGAGTGGGTAAACCATTGTCTGCACGCCGTTCTACTTTATTTTTTCACGTGTGCACTGCGAACAAATTGGTGGAGTATATGTTTCATCGATACCAATTTGAGAGCCTTAAAAGTAGAGCCTTTCAGTAGGTCAAACGATATCTAGGAGATATGGTGTTAAATGATACTTTTTTATCCTGGCAATATATTATATTTTGAATACCATTCATACTTTCGCTGCACAGGAGTTGTGTTGAAAATGACGTTGGTCAAGTCGCTGACAGTCGCAAAATGGGAGTTGGCTTAGGGCTGGAGTCCCGACGAACTGATTGCAGAATGGATCCCTATTGGGGAAAAGGGATTGTTGGGCAGGAAAACGGACAAGAGGGGGCAACTATTGCAAATCGAGACAGTTGCAGCCCTAACCCACAGCGCCATGTCATGGAAGAACCATAATAAATCCTTTGATGCTATTTTCAGCCAGAAGCCAAAAGTAGAAAAATATTTTTTCCACTCCGCCCCCCAGCTGTAGCTCTTCCTCTAGCTGTTGTTGTTGCTGTTCTGCTTGCCACCTGGGGTAAGCTTATTCGCTTATGGAAAACGACACGACATTTGCGTGGGTGGGTGTGCGGCAGCAGCTCCCCACCTGCTGAATTTTCCACCCAGCTTTCCCATCCATCTGTGCATCTTTTGTGTAGCCGAGTTCACGTAACGAGTTGGCGAGCATATAACGCTTCATTGATGTGGCAAGTTGATGTCGAGGCGACCTGAAAATTCAGATTGCAAATTTTGTATGCCATGGCAAAAGGATTTAAATGAGCACGGCACGGGGGGGCAAAGTGGAAAGGATTTTTGTGGGGTTAGTCTAGCAAATGGCAGTTTTCATGGAATATTTTTCCTGATTTTGAATTCCGTTTGTCCTGTGGGGCAGCGGGTAGGGAAATGCAGATAGATAGATGGAACTGAAAGTGAAATTAAGCACGGCGAGCAGATAGATTTCTCACAGGAGGAGAAAACTTCATGCTCGACATCGAATGGTTGATGAAGGGTGAACAACACAGAACGCTCGATTGATCTTGACGTATCGGGATTTGCTTGCATTGCTAAATCAAGCAGCTGTAAATAGTCAAGCAAACACGCTTAATTTTATGCAAATATTTATTAAATAAGGCCGTGAAGTGCTTCCCAAATTCATGATTAAATAGCTTATCTGTAAATGTAAAGGTTTCCAATTAAATTTGGCCATCCTCCGTTTTCCTCAAATATTCAAGTATTCTCACGCCATATTCACAAGCCAAATGTATCTCAAAAGGGCGCCCTTCAATCGCTGACTTACGCCGCCTAATGTTGTCCGATATTAATTTAAGCCCTTGGGTTAATGACATTTGCACAGCCCCTCAGACTTTGTGCCCTCTGGCCATCGCCTGGAAATTGAGTTTGGCCACCTGGACTCGTTCCATTTGCACCTTTGCACCTGAGGCAAATGGGCGGGCTCTGCAGTTTCCACCGCCCACTTAAGCTGTTCAGGTGCCCGAGACATTTTACACTTCAAATGTCAAGACGTCGCTCATACCCACCAGTCTCTTTGTGAACCCGCGTCTGAATCTGAATCTGAATCTCAAGGAGCTGAACTGAGGGCTGGGAAAATTGCACGGAAAACTCAGCGCAGCGCGCAGTTGCCAGCTTTTGTGTCTTGTGAGAAATGGTAACTGGGTTCCTTGGGATGTGCCTAGCATATATATATCTATGGCTATGCCGGTCCGACTCGAACTCCAGATCTCCCTCTTTATGTAAATCTGATTTATTTGCATGTCAAAGTGGAGGCAGCGGCGCATTTTTTTTTCGCACCCCCCAACAAGGGGCAAAGTTCACGCGCAGTCGTCTCATTAGACGTGGAGATCCGCCAGCCCCTGGAAAGCAGCCAGCTCCAACATCCAACACCCAAGAAAGGCCCATTCATCTAGGACCTGTCGCTAGACGAAGGGGGACCTAAGAAATCGCTGATTCAGCGTGTTTTCTTAGCGTTTTAGAATAATTGCAGGCGTTTAATTTAATTGCGCGCGCCTGGATTTTCCGAGCCGGGAAATTGGCAAAAACAATTTGGATAAAAAGCGCGTGCAAATTTAATTAGTAGAGAACAGACAAAGTGAAGATGAAGCGGCACCCCAAATATAACGCAAATGAGAAATTTTCTTATTTTATGTGACAAGTTGATGGCCCAGCCGTTTTGCCTTTTTTTTGTTATTTTGGCCGGCTTTTTGTTGGCACTGCCGTTGACTTTGGCGCCTGTCATCATCGTAACTGTCAGGCGCATATGTGAAATTCATTTTAAACTGCAATAAAACCCGAAAGAACAATGAAACTTTGCCGCAGGCAAGGAGGAGCTTCGGTTTGGTAGCAGCAGTTTTGAGGGGCAAAGGGGTTCTTTTGCCCAACACCCGAAGGCACAATACTTAAACGCACACTGAAAAACCTGTTCCAGCAACAATGACGCACCTGGGAACTTTTGTAATTGTGTTTCTTTCACTTGTCTTGGTGGTGGTCGTGGTGGAGGAGATGTAACACAGAACTATGGGGCTGGAACCAAAAAAAAACCAAATTGAGAAATCATTGGGGACTCCTAGGGCGCTTTTATTGCAGAAGATTGAAAATGGATGGGGGCTTATAAATCACTGACGTATAACAGGCCGAGGTACATTTTATTCCGTATTTACTGTATTTCGAATTTAATTTAACTCACTGCGAACAGTTTTTAAAAGACATTTTCAAAAGACATTGAAGTTTTCCTTCGGAATGGTACAATTAAAGTGGTAAAAACTAATAGTTTGGCTTTGATTAAAGATAGAAACTTGGGTAATTATGCTCATATAGTTTTATATAACTTTCAGTCATTCCTTTAGATATCTCTGTTAGATTCTCTTTTCAATGTCCTGCAAAAGTATTCTAACTTTTGGTTGTACCCCGAGCCACTTTCTTAACCTTTTGACCCACAGTGCGCAGAGCACGTGCTAGCAATGACAGTTACAAAAACGCTCATAAAGAGCCATCAAATTTCGCATGCCAAAACAAAAGCGGCCAAGCTGACAAGGCGGGGGGCAGAAGGAGGAGAAGGAGCGACTCGAACTATGCAAATGACGGCAGAAATCGCGGAGGGCGGAGAGGATCCTTTGCGGAAGGATCGTCGTGCGTGCCTTGCGGTAATTTCTTGAGTGCATGTGGGACAAACACAAAAGCCACCGCATGCCACGCAGCCAGTCAAGCCGGCAGCTTCGATGCTAGCGTTAAATGCAAATGTCCTTCGGCGGGAGCAGCCTGCTCCTGGCACACGCCCACAGCCGCATCCTCACCCACTACCATACCCACACATACAAATATTCAGTGTTCCTGGAACACTCTCACACACGATTTCAATTAGCCTGGCCCGTCGATGGCTGATTGGCTGCTCCACTTACCAACACAAGGCCAGACCAAATCGTGTGTCACCTAATGGCTGCAGGCTTATGTGCATATATCAAAGTGTGTACCTCAGCCACTCAAAGACACTGAATTAGTCCTGGTGAAAGGAAGAATGGGGAACGGGGCTGGGGATGTGGGTATGCTGGCTGGCTATGCTGCAATAAATCCACGAACCTATAAATATATTTCAAGTTGAAGTGCACTGGTGAAAAATGTATGTACTGTTTTAAAGTCATTTTATGTAGGAAAGTTTTGAAATGGCTTATAAGCCCGATGCTATTTTAAAGGCTTACGTTTTTGGTACCTAGGTAATAGCTGCACCAGAACTAGGTATGTGTGATTATTCGCTAGGTAAATAATAGTTGTACCTACAATTCTCACCGCGACTGTTCACAGGTGAGTGGATCTGCGGTTCGGGAACTCAAGCTGCGGGCTTTCGTCACATGGAAATCAATTTTCGTGCCGAAAACGAAATTGAATTTGTATGTGAATACAATTACATAAACTTCCGTTTCCGCTCCGTCATCATCCTTGAGCATGTGTGTGTGTGTGTGTTTGTGTGTGTAAGTGCGTCCTTGTATTGAAATCGAATTATTCTGTTTGATTTCCTGCACAAGCCAAAACGATGCGGCATATGGCAACAGAAGCAGGGATCCGAAACCCACACCACTCCTTTGCCTTGTGAATTTTCGGCTGGGGGATTGGGTTTTTGGGTTTCGGGTTTTGGTTGTGCGTTCACTGCAGACTGCTCATTTCCTGCTGTAAAAGCAAAATCGAAGTGCTTGAAACAGTCAGCCATCGAGGATGATTTGCATATGCCATTCTCCGCAATGCGTGTGCGGCTTGTCTTTGGGTTTTCGGCCGATTTGTCGTTGCCCCGACCAAGGCGAGTAATTAATGACATGCGGACTGACCCCGAGCACCTGATCCGGCATCCTTGATCCCCGAATTCCAGTTCAAAACCTGGCGCACCCACTTTCTGGTGGGCCGGACCAACACTTGTCGCGCACACCCGAAAATGATGTTGCCTAATGGCTGCTGGGCACTGAGGGATTGCCAGGGACATGCAAAGCCACAATCAGGACATCGCTACGTGGTCCATGCTCGTGTTGTCCGCGCCCCTGATTCCGCATAACCAACGTGTTGCTCCAGCTTACGTACACTCGACCAATTTTTGAGAGAGTAATGTATGAAAACATGATATGGGGTTATCTGATAACTTTGAACTGGAATTCCTGGCTCGAAACTTGCAAATGTATAATTAGCATGATTGATACTTTTATGATTGATACTTTTAACCTGCTGTTTTCTCTGAAACCCATTTAATTAAATCCATTTTAATTTGGAAAACAGCGGTTTTGTTAGACAAACAGTTCGAGTTACTTTTGTGCAGCGACTTTCAATCTGTAAACAGTATATTTAAAATGGGGCTTAGAAGCGAAACTTTTCGATTAATTAAGCACGAGCTTTAAAACGCCAAACTTTAAGCCAAACTTTTCCCGAGTGTGTCTGGTGGCGGTGTATGTTTACCCTTTGCCGCTGTTGCCACAAGGGCAAAAGGACAAAAAGGGATACGCCAGGAGCAGTTTGGGAACATATCAGCGAGCAGGGAGTTGGGATGGGGAGGCGGCAGGAAGAGGCTGGAAGAGGCTGGAAGAGGCGGAGGAACAGCAGGCATGGCGCGTGTATTTCCGCTTCCTTTGTCACAAATTGATGCACCCCTTTGCTCCTCTCTTGCAGATACGGCCGCTGGGTGACACGACGCGTGGCTGTCATCACCATCGCCGCCATTTGGCTGCTGGCCGCGTTCGTCTCCTTTGTGCCCATCTCGCTGGGCATCCATCGGCCGGACCAGCCGCTGATTTTCGAGGACAATGGCAAAAAGTATCCAACATGCGCCCTGGACCTCACGCCCACCTACGCCGTCGTGTCCAGCTGTATCAGTTTCTACTTCCCCTGCGTGGTCATGATTGGCATCTACTGTCGGTAAGTCAAAAGGGCACTATATCGCCCTGAAATGGTTGGTTCCGCTGGCCAGATTGCGGCAAAAGTTGTCCGCTTCGCTGTGCGTGCATAAAACATGAAATGCATAAAGTAAGATACTTCCAGACGCCTTCAGCTGCAATTATGTAGATACAAATAGCTCAGGGTTATCGCAGAGCAACACAGAAACAGAAACTTCCGCAGGCACACGAAAGTTTGGCCGAAATCGCTCTCCAAATGAAAACAAAGCGGGAACTCAAATATTTTTATGAGCCAAGAATAAAAGTTGGGAAAATTAATGCATGCCTTCTTATTCCTAGCCAAGTTTATACACTCTTTTCAAAGGACACATGAAAATACAACATCCTTTTCTGCACATTTTGTAGGCATGAACAATTTCTATGAACAACTTGAGCATTTAAAACGACTAAGTACTGGCCAGCTTAAAGTTTTCTGAGACCACTTCGTTAAGGTCTAAAAATAATATGGGTGAATATTTTTATTTTTTCGGTACTAGAGTTCTTATATAAATGCAGACAACTATTTGATTTAGAACGTGTTACTACGTTGAATACCCTTTGCGAGGGAAAATAAAAGCGGCCCGCAAAAAGTAGAAAGGAAGTCGGGGCAGAAGCAGTAAAAAGTAAATAATAAAATGTTGTAAAAACTGACGAAGTTCGCTGCTATCGCACTGCTGAATATATCAGAAAAATGCCGCAAGGACCTGCGCCCCTGATGGCCTCCAGGCACGAGAGAGAACTGGGGAACTGGGGAACTGCGGAAACTGAAACTGAAACTGATTGTGGGCAAGGGGTCTAGGGTTGAACAAATAAGCGCACGCATTAGTGTCCGTCTAAGTAATCCCCAGGAGCTGGCAAAAGGCTGGGGCGTGTGCGAAAGGACTAAGCAAGGACACACTCACACCATAGCAACGGTATAGCGATAGCTGCTCATCAACGTTTCGGCCAGCGGCACGTTGCCATTTTAGCTTAACGAGATTTGCAGCCATTGGCCGCATCCCAAATCCCTCTATCCGCTCATCAAATGGATCCCCTGTTGGCTGCCATTGGAATTTTCTATCAAATTTCGGTTAAATTGCAGAATAAATATACTTTTATCATCATAATTTGTGCCTGACATGCCCTGTTATCCTTTTTATGCGACCAACGAGTAAACACTCACAGGAGCACTGGCACATATGCTTGTTTATTTGTGTATGCGGCATATGAGGAGAAAGTGGAGTGGAGAAAGTGGGCGCGTAACAGCTTAGAGAGCGACTCAAGTGGAAGATTGGAAATGATGGTCAGACGTTGCGTATACGCAATGTGTTTCCTTTGGGTATCGGTGTGGACAGAGCCCTTGTTGTCGGCATCCATTTAATTGACATGCCAAGCGACCCAAGTGAATAATTATCATATCAATTACCAGCTGTAACCAGTAACTACACAGTCCGTAACCAGTGGCAAAATAAGCAGAAATCGAGACCAGTCGTTCATTAGGTGATAAATAATTAATAATATCATGCTTTCGCAAGAAACGACAATAAACATTAAAGTGTAATGATATGCTGTCGTTATGAATCTTCTCGAGGACACTGATTTTACACATCCACTTGTACGAAATGACTTGGCATTGTTGCTTAGCCAAGTGCTTTAATTTAGTTCCAGATTTGATTGAAAATGGAGGGGGAATATTGCTATAGTAACACAGTCGTAAGCACTAACAAAGACTTGAATTGAAAGTTTACTATAATATTGTATAATTACAAATTTCCCTCTTGATTATATGCTCCCAGACTATACTGCTATGCCCAGAAGCACGTGAAGTCCATCAAGGCGGTCACCCGACCAGGTGAGGTGGCCGAGAAGCAGCGCTACAAGAGCATCCGGCGCCCAAAGAACCAGCCCAAGAAGTTCAAGGTGCGCAACCTGCACACCCACAGTTCGCCATATCACGTATCCGACCACAAGGCGGCCGTCACGGTGGGCGTGATCATGGGCGTGTTCCTCATCTGCTGGGTGCCCTTCTTCTGCGTCAACATCACGGCCGCCTTCTGCAAGACCTGCATCGGCGGACAGACCTTCAAGATCCTCACCTGGCTGGGCTACTCGAACTCGGCCTTCAATCCGATCATCTACTCGATCTTCAACAAGGAGTTCCGCGACGCCTTCAAGCGCATCCTGACCATGCGCAATCCGTGGTGCTGTGCCCAGGATGTGGGCAACATCCACCCGCGGAACAGCGATCGCTTCATCACGGACTATGCCGCCAAGAATGTGGTGGTGATGAACTCGGGCCGCTCGAGCGCCGAACTGGAGCAGGTGTCTGCGATTTGACCAAAAGGCTGTCTGAATCTCACCGGCGGCGGAGCCACCTGGCTGCCCTGCGGATGCGGCGGTCTGCGCGTGGACGACGATGACGATGGAGCGCTGACCACGCGGTATGTTCCATGAGATTCGGTCACGGCGGCCACCGCCACCATTGTGGAGACCGTGGAGGCCGCGCATATGGAGACGGAGCTGCTCTAGGCCGGCAAATGGGTTCCTAAAACCAACTCGATGTCTCACAGTTTAAACCGTAAGCAATCCCAGCCCTCTGCCCTACTGACCCAGTGGATATGGAAACCTGTAAGTATTATCAGCGCGTCCCCGAGACTAAGCAATCAACTATGCGTATACTTAATCGCACTAGTATCTAGCTGTAAGTCCCACTAACAAAAGGAATACAAATCAGAAAAACAAAATGGAAACCCAACCCGAAACGTGATTAGGTCTAAGATCTTCAACCCGGCACCTAAGAGAGCTTCTAGTTAAGTTTCCGTTTGGATATTCATGGCGGTTTGTCTCCATGCAAATGCGATTATTATGAAGTGACACATGTCACTTGCCACATTTCTCACTCACTCACCCATCCAAACAAACAAGCACACACGCACACAACAACAAGCCACACAGATACATGGGGAAAAAGAAAGAAAACGTTGCATACATCGCGGCGCCCTCATATTCGAACAGCTCTACATTTGATTTATTGATGAAAATTTATGGCCATTGAACGAACAGGGCTGCCAGCTGCACTCGTAAATCATGCAAAATGATTATTGTTGTTATTATTATTAGGGGCACAGGGAAAAAGCTGTAAAACCCCCGACCCTTCGCCCCAATGTACTATAAATGTTATGTTTAGTTCGAGTGCCACGATGATAGCGTGTTTTTACGAGCAAACTTTGCAGACTGATTTGAATTTATGCGTTGAAATCTGTTCCACAATGTTAATTAAGCCAACTGTGATTGACACCGGCAAACCAAAGGCATTCGAGACGTTAACCCGAGAAGCCTTTTTGGGCACCGCAACCTGATCCTCCGATTACCGGATGATTTAATGAGCGGCACCTGCGAAAACACAGCTATCAGCCGGCGGCATAATGAAGATGTTGCCCCTGGCCCAATTTCGCTTCCACAGACGGCAAGTATTTTGTCTTCTGGCCCGGAGTCGGGAAAACAAATGTAAACAGTTTGCTCTTCACGCCACGATGAAAAATTATGCCAGCACAGGGGGAAAATTATCTGGTTTATTGGGATTGGCCAAGCAAATATATCAAGCAATTACCGGAAAAGGAACCTTTTGCTTCATGAGTAAAAGATAATTAAGGGAAGGATAATTTTGAAGAAATTTTTAAAAATGAGTTTTTTTAAATAATTTTGTAATTCTTTTAAGTGTGTTATATTCCGCTATTTTGTTTAGAACTTGATGAAATATTAATACCGTTGTTATTCTTCTCAATTTTACTAGACAAAAGGGAAGCAAAGATATTCATGGTTAATTGATCTAAATACAATTTTTAAAGTTAAAGTCAAAGTGTCTCCAATACCTCGCCAAGGTTTCTATCAGTGTATCTCTGTTTCTTAGTTACTCTTACCCCTTCGCCACTCGAGTTTCAATTCCGGTTATTTGCGGATGCCGCAACTCTCGCCAGTGCCATTCCCTTCCGCTTTTGTTATTAATACAAAGTAGTTATGCCGTCTGCCTCGGTTTTCCCCCTCGGATTCAAGGCAATCCGCTTACAACTTTTCCAGTCTTTGTTTATTCGATTCCCTTTCGCGCGCCTTCCTTTTCGTGTTTATTTTGGCAGTTTATTAAAACTTTGGTGCTGCTTTCGTCATTTTAATTACAATACTCCGAACAAAAGCGAAGCGGCATTTGTTATCGAATGCCACGCCCCATTTGGACCGCCCACTGCCTGGAAAAATCGTCATTGCCACAACTGGCACGCAATCAATTCAACTTCAACTCCATCAACGATTTCGCACGTGTCGCAGGCTCGCAGTCGAGTAAAGGCTTGAAATTCGGCTTCTGAGTGCTTTATGGCACACACGAAATGGCCATGCCCCAAAGCCCCTTCCCCTCCACCCACAGAGCTCGCCGAAGGGGGGGCCTGACCCACTTCCCAATTCGCACATTCCATTTGGGTTTATTTGGGGCGCAGCCATTGACTTTGACTTTGGAATTTGTCGTGGCCTAAAACCCCCCAAAAATGGCATGATAAATGTGCGTGGCGCGGCCAAAAGCCTTAACCCATTACGTTTCAAATTTGCCTATATTGAATATTGATTGAATACTTTTTCACTGCATGAGCGGGAGTATGTACTGTTCTTAAAGGGATTCAGTCATGTGCAAGGTGAGAGGGATATTCTACTTGTGCTAAACAAGCAAACAAAAATCCGAGGTATGGGGTAGTTAATCTTTAAACACTTATTTTTGTCAACTCGTGTTTTTCAGCCACTTCAGCACACGCCCATGGGTTAAGACTTTGGCCATAACTCTTTCGATACGGCTTTGCATAATTAAGATTGTGCCCTAAAGCGTTACTTTTGCGATGCCTTCTTCTTGTCGAACTTCCTGCTAGTGTCACTTTGTTGCTCCCTTCGCTTTATTCCGTTTTCCCTCACATTCTTTCACTTGCGACTTTCTCCTCTTTCACTCATCTTTGATTCGCTGGGAGCAATTTGGTGATTGTGACTACAGCTGCGTTTGAAACCTTTTGTCCCCTATCATTGAAATCCTGTTTCAAAGGCCATGACTTTTTTAGGGTTTCGGTTTTCGCGAGCTTTAATTGAAACATTTGACATCCGGAAGCTCGGTTTTCCCCCTCTTTTTGCATCCGTTTTTCCAGCTTCTGGCTGTCTGCTTCTAATTGTATTAGCCAGATTCAAGTTAGGAGCCTACGTGACCAGCATGGAAAAGTGGTATTATCTGCGTCGTGATTCTTGGAAAAGAGGATCCCTGCCAGCCAAGCTGAACATGTGCTTTCATTAGCATAATCGGTATAAAACAACTTACAGCACTAGTTGCAGAAAACCCTATTTGCTTGAAAGTCTCGACTGCTTTTATTGTCCATTTGCTGCTTAAATAAATAGATTTCCCGTAATTGCTTTCGCAATTCAATAAAAAAAAAAGGAAAACCCCCTGCCGAGAAAATACAAATTTCTGTCAATAACAGCAACAAACAATTTAATTTTTTACGCAAATAAAATTCAGCATAATTAAAATATGTGGCCACAATGGAATGTTTAAATAAAGCTTTCCGCTTGTAATGGGTAAAATTCGTTGACTTTTAACTACGTTACCGATTTAAATTGCCACAAATGTCCGTTTACTTAGTTTTCCTCTCGTCTTCAATAGCTCAAGTCGAGTGTTTGCCCTTGGAAAATCATTGGTGGCTGCAATCCTTCGGGCTAATCCCATGTATACATAATGTATGTCATATATATTCAATTGGCAATCCTTTAAGCCACGCTTTAAAATCTGTTTGTAAATCTGTTTGGGATTCCCCGAGTGTTTAACTTGATTCTGAAGCCGAAAAAGTCAAACGATGAATGTCAACATTTCGCATAAATTGCAATCGATTGCCAAAGGGGACTCGAAATGGTCGCTTGCCATTAGGGAAAAGGCCATTGATGTTGACTGGTTTAGGCCCGCTCACTCCCAGTTTGATTGATTGATTGATGGAAGGTTGGCTGAATAGCTGGATAGACGGCTAAAGCGAATTTTGCCGCTTCGCTGGCATCGTTTCTCATATTTTTTGTGTGTGGGCGTTACGTTGCCACGCCCTCTAAGCACTGCCAACTATCAACAGTTGGCCGCCAAAAGTTTTCCCAGCTACCTTGTCCTTCTCGCTCGGCTTAACTTTGGCTATATTTTGGCATTTTTATAACTTTTACGCCTGCCAGTGTTTATTTTGCTTTACGACTTTCCACAAATTCCCGCAGTCTCAGCTTACACTCTATCTTCCTTCTTCCTTCTGTATTGCTTCCCTTTTCCCTCCGCCCTCCCAGTCATTCCAATCTAAATTTTTCCTGGCGCGTGTCATTTTGTAGCCTACTTTCTGGCTGAGCTCGCATTCCTACGCCGCATTGTGTATACGCAACGTATGCCCGCGAAAACGTTTTATGGCCGACATAGCCTGGCGTGCTAATTTATACGTTAGAGCCGGATGGGCCCTCATTTGATACCACCATCGGCCCAGTCACGCCCCACCGGATCATAAAAACACAATTTTAATCACAATTTTTCTTGGCGCTTACTCCCTGGGATTTTCGTCTAGCCAAATTAGCAAAAACATTTCGATAAATGCAAGGAAGTGCGTGCAGAAGAGTTTGACTGCTATTATTCCAACTGAAAATATTTTAGCAGACATATACACATGAAATAATGGAATAATATACATTTTGAGTCTTTAAAATTGCTGTTAAGCCAGGTTATTCTTGTATGATTAATAATATTTTTACCAAAAGCCTGTTCTCTTCATATGTGGCTGAACTTTAACGTCTATTATACAGCTTACAATGCAGCGTATACGTAATCTTTGACATTTGGCAACTTAAAGTGCTTAAAGCTGCCACTAAGTCGTTGGCCAGCAACTTTCATTTGATTTTCAGCTTCTTGCCGCAGCCCATAGAAAGTTTTTCCCCCTTCGAGCGTCTTTTTGTCATTGTGGGCGGAAAAAAACGGGGGCGGTAAACTTTGGAGCACGGAAAAGTTTGCCAAGCTCTGCAACAATAACAAATGCAGGCAAAGTTTAGATAGATTTCCAACCCTTCACGACTGCACCTGCCTCTCGCAGCATGCAATTAAAATTATGTGCCCCAAATGCAAAAGAGTTCGCTGCCACAGCCTCGAAATCATTTCGTAATGCACTAGGTGCCCGGCTTAATGCCAGTTGGTAATTTCATCAGAATGCAAATTGAATTTAAAGCAAAAGTTTCTGAATAAATGATGGCTGTCGGGGAGTATCGAGTGAATTGGGACCACTTCCCAATCGCCACTTACAATGACAGTTATTTAATACTCTCCGGGACGTGGCTGCCACTACCGCTGCTTATCCTTATCCCTTCTCTGCCTGACTCCCGTCGACAAGTATCAGGCGATTTAAGGTGCACTCAATCGATTTTATAGCCCGGTCCTCACATGTGATGCATTTTAATTAAGAGGGAAGCCCCAGACTCCTCCGAAGGCGGCCGTTACATCCTTCGGCCTACAGCTTTTTATCAAGGTCCTGTTTCCGTGACATGCCAGCCTCGCAGCTCCTTGTGCAGCTTGCAATTTTAAACCCAAATTGAATTACTTCTCCATAGCCGGCATCGTTGGCGGTCTGTTGGGTGCGCGTCTCCTTGATTTTCCCCGGGGTAAGGGACTGCCTGACAACCCGCATATTTGATGAGACTTTAAGAATGTCGCCTTTCAGGCCGGCAAGGAACAGGGGCAATAGAGAGCGGGAATGTCGAGCCGCCGGTGTTAATTGGTCTGGGGAACTCCAGGCATTTCAGACTCGACTAAATTGTGCTAGGTGTTCAAAGTAAATAGTTACAAATTCCAAAAGATACTGCCTTCTCTAAATTTTCGTTTTCAGCATGGAAAGCCACTAACCATTTAAGTCTAAAATAACATTAACGAGAAATAAACTATTATTTTTAATAAATAAACTAAACTTTCAATAATCAGTGGCTGTGCCACGGATAAGATTTATTTTATTAATATTTCA